GGACATTTTTGAAGACTAAGAAGATTCGTAAATATCAGCCGAGGTCTTTTACAGGGGCGTATCCAGGATTTTCATTGGGGGGTCCTTACATACCAAATTGTCACTGTGACGTCATATGACGTCAACATGTCATATCAATCTATGGTTTTCGCGCTTTTTCGGTTTTGAAAGGGGGGTCACGGGCACCCTGTGATCCCCCCTGGATACGCCCCTGATTTATTTCTGGTTGCAAGGATTCATACGATAAGTTCGTACCAGACTCACTAGCACATTCAACATCTTTGAGACAGAAYAATAGACCAATCGTTGATATAATACCACGCTTTGTTCTATGGCTTCTTGTGTGTTATGACATTGTGAGTAACATAGTGTGATTTTGCATTGCTTCTACAGACTGGTGTCAAAGTTCAACCACGACCAAACCGTTGGCGATGTACGAGCTTTTATAACTGCGTATCCTTTTGCATTAACAACTTTTTCCCATAATTTTTGGTTGTCTAGTAGCTTGCGAAGAAAATCTCAAGTAACKTTGGTAGACCCTTGTTTTTCTTTCTTTTTTTACACTTTTTATCTTCCTCGTTATTAGCAAAAACAAACATTGCATACACAATGTCCCTTTTGTCTTCAAACCATCTAATTTTTCACGACTTTCTATACCCATGTTCAGTCACCACTTTCTTTCATGCTCTGTGTACCTWGACGCCTCGGTTCARTGCTCTGTTCGTTGTCACTGAACCTGAGTATGGAATATTGTGAATGATTCATGCTTGGCTGTTATTTTCTATTGACAAATATGTTAGTGCAAGACCTCAGATGGCAGGAACATCTTTTGTTCTCATGACAACCTTTCCAAATAAGGAATTGATGTCCAACCAACAAACCATCCAAGAAGCAAATTTACTTAACGCCGTTATCGTTCAGCGGCTTAAATAAGATATTCCTAAGATGTTCAAAGCGGATATTACTACTGCACAGCGGTAGACCGAAGAAGCAGAGTTGTTGGAAGTAAATCACGTGACATCACTCCTTTAGTTGCATGTCACTATGACAAGCATGTCCCACTAATGTTTATGACAACGCGTTTGCTTGGTAACTGCTGCGTGATGGAGGACCCAGAACACATCACAACAAAGTAAAAATTACAATTGTTGTTTTGTTTTGTGTTTTGTTGTTGCTGTTTGTTTGTTTTTTCGGCGGAGACGGCAAGCCGCAATGGTTTCATTGTACCCTCCTCGATCAGAATGGTGAATGTCAAATTCAGTGAAAATGATACACAACACTGTAATGGGAAGAGATATCTCGTGTTTGTAGTCAGGGTTTTTTTTTATTGTGATGAAAAGACGAAACTTTGATTCGGGGAGGAAACTTACAGACGATGATGGCTCGAACATATTGTCGAACATAATGAGTGATTTTATGTAGAGACAGAYTATCTACGCAAAGAAAGATGGATGCACTGGGATGTTTGCAAAACAATATTCGGCATAACATTTGCACGATGATGGAAACTAGCGGCAAACTAGTATTTGCATGATGGCGTAACTACAACTAACAGGAAGCCTTGCCCATTTTCATTGWTATTCAGGTTTTTAATCCCTTTGGAGATTAGTAAAAGCATTCTGGTAGTTGTAGTCAATGACGCTTTGCTCTTATTACACTTTGACATGTCTTTTGCTAGAGTCTTGTTTTAAAATGCCGACAGTGTATGAATTTCRAAACTGGTGGTTTTAGTACCACTTTTTGTTCCTCTATCCCCAGTTAACACTCAAGTTCTCAGCATAGAACAATTGGCCGTCTATACAATGTTAATTTGTCATATTTATGCAATAGTTTATTTCTTTTTTTCAAAATTCAATTTACAAGATGATTTGCATAACAACGTTATTTTGACAGACACGTATGAATTTAAAAATAATCATCAGTACTATTGCATTGAASAGAATGACAGCGATAGCAAATTGCAGTAACTTCGTTTGCACTTTAACGGCATTCACTGCGATGKATTGAATAAAACAAAGAAGCACGAGCCATAAAATGAGAGAGAAAAACAACAATGACAGCCTTTAGTTTTTTTATTGTCACGTCTTTGTAAAACTTTAGCTTTTCCCTATTGAACAATAAGTCATCAATAATCATATATTTCAGAGTTTATTTATGTCTTGATTGTGAATCAACACACAGTTTAAATTGATTTTTTTATAATTTGATTGGTCATCTAGCAGTGCTTTATAGTGCATATATCACCCAAGCAGTAAAATGAACGGTATAATCCCGCAGCGTAAGGCATTCCGCACAGTTTGAATTCCAACTGTGCGACCTTTTTATTATCGCATTTTTAAGCGAATCTGGTTGTAAATATATATATTTATATCATATATATGCTATCTTAAGCACAGGCGCCATTACTTGAATTCTCTTGTGTTCATCATATTCTCAGAAGCCTTGTTCGCTTTTTCATTGTTGATTCTGCAAAAAAAGACAGTTTTGTTAACGATTTATACCAGATCTCTATTACGTCCATGATGAACAGAAAAAAAATCAGTCATTTTCATTATACCACTATAACTGTTTACTTCTCTTTTAATGTTATTATAATTCTCTTCAATTTACTCAATTCCGCGTTCTGTTTTTTTTTACCTGCGAAAAGTAACTTTTTCCTTTTTTCCCTAAAAATCTCGTTTTTACATGGACTTCTCCCGTTCGTCATTCATCAAAGTCTTTAGTTTTCTGGAATATTTTATATCGGTGCCCTTTACATGGATGTGAAGAGAGTTACGGTCGCTTGGAAACCGCCTACTAAATTCAGCCAAAACTCATTCAAAGTTCTCCAGAATTGCAATGGCTAATAAAGTCAATATTTTGGAGGTTTAAGAAATATGTGAAATGTGTTTTTTGTGGGTTTTTCACGGTGAAAGAGGATGGCTAGTAAGAAGGCTTGTTCCAGTGCTAGCCAGGTGGTGTACACCGCTCAAGAAACATATGTTGTTTTTACGTTTCAGTGCAGCTGCAGCAAAAATCGAACTCTACCGGATGAGAAGAGCCAAGCCTAGAAAATTTTACGCAGCGAATTTCATCTTTTTCTCGGCTCGAGATAAATCAATCGACGGTCTCCATCCCCAGGAACTTCCCCTGACCTTGGACTAACACTATGGTTCGTAAAAACAAGGAAATGTTCTTGACTTACTTGTAGATTTTGGTCTTGTCTTTGATGTATGTCTTTGGGCTTTAATCATATATGAGGCAATACGTCGACGCTTCGATCGAGGGCTTTTTGGTCGCGTTTGAGTCGTTTGTTGTGAGATATTTTCCTGGGTGACCTCTGTCAGGACATAGTATAGTAATTCAGTAACATTCAGACCCAAACTCCCGCCTTTTGGCTTCCGGGAGAAAGTCTTACCTCGGACCGYAGTATCGGGCTGAGTCCTAAGCGCCTGTTGTAGTAATGCTATGTATTTTATTGCTTCTTCAATAACCTGGATCTGTTAGAATGAAACATGTTGTAAGAGGTTCTTTCGCAATAAGAGAGAATCACAGTTTTACCTTCGACACGCGTGACTTTGAAGCGACGGACGGTACAAGGGATCGTAGTCGCGCGTACTCCATCATCTTGATATGACTATTGCAGGAAAATTCACAATTTCTAACCAACATATTCCTGTTAGCGTAACACCATGGAATATTTTCTCTTTCAGCCATTGTAAAGCTCTACAACATAAAAGAAAGTCGGTATTAAAAATGTTAGTTGAGCGCCTTAGATTGCCGGTGTATAGCTTGCGTTCGGATCTACTCTAGTTCGCTAACGCTCTTCAAATTCACCTCTGAAGAGACTACTTACGAGTTTGATTGAAGCAAGAATAGGGTTTTGTTTCACTAGTCGAGTCTCTCTTCAATCGGGCAAGTCTACTTACATGCAGTCACAAACACAAGAATGAAAAGTTTCTTTCTTGCGCTAACTATAAATTGCCAATATTACAATGATATACTGCACCTGTAAGACATTGTATTATAAACACAGTACTTCTCGACCAATCAGAACTCACCATGCTGTGGTTAACAATCAAATTAACCCACATTTCGACCAATCAGGGCTTCTTGCATATATATGCAAACCAGTAACACAACAGATAATGAAGTGTGCTGAGAAAACGTACGGACMGACATACAATACACAAGTACGTCTTATTCCTCAGTCACTTTGGATATTCTYAACAAAATTCTGGCGTTGTAGTTTGAGACAGCGCGGTTCTAGTTCAGATGGTAATTGTGGTTTTATTGTGAAGATAAGATCGATTCAAACCATGACAGGATACTAATGACCATACCGTTTAAGCAAAACTTGCGTTTCTAGGCACCACATTCGACTCCAGCTAAAAAGGAAACAAATGCTTTCAATTTGGACTTCAAAGAGATACAAATAAGGGTTTCCAGTGAAACCTTTGAATTAAATTAAACTTTCATAACAATGTTTGGAAGGAGAAGACGAGTGAGCAGCTGTATTGTTGTTATTATCAGAAGTTGGTCGTTAGCTGAGGCAATGCCTTGGAGCCAATAAAATCACACTCCTATAATTACCGCCAAATATCGGACTAGCTGTTCGCCTTCAAAATCTTTATTGCAAGGCCTTCTTGCTTTTAGTTTTTGAAAATGATTGAAGATATTTAGTTTTGAAAGAAGCGTTGCCACGTTTTCCATTTAGTCATTGAATGTGCAGCTGCATGACCTGTCCGGCCTTCACACAACTCCTTTCTCAATAAATTCAACATTTTTGCCGGTGGTGGATTTTTCCTTAGAAACCGAAAGACTATTTCGTGGGTTGGCATACAAAGAACTGGTATTGGATTGCCAGTACATCTGTTAAAATGTTATTGAAAACCTTTTAGTGGTCCTCGTATTCTTTGGACATGTTTTATCACGTTTTCTACTCTAGCTTGTAATTATTTGCCACTTTAGCGCCCGCGCCTGTATTTTTGTGTTTTTATTTAGAATGGAGTGTCAGTCATTATTCTAACTATTGCATTTTTGATCGGTTTCCTATAGAAGCGCTCATGTCAAATAATCAAAAAGCACAAGACTCTAATTTGTTCAGCTAAACGGAGAACTAATTCAATAACACGTTATCCAACTGACACGCTTTTTGGACAACCGTGACGGGACGACATTCCCCTTTTACGATAYATCAAAAAGTCTGTAGGAAACTTTCGTGTTATAAAAGCAAACTTATATTGATTTCTTCCTAGAAGAATTTCACTGTCGAATCCATAGCTGTAATCTGCTTAAATTTGTTACGTTAATACCAATTATGTTCGAAAACTGAATGAATTAAACAAATGAGTTTCGAAACACTTTTTGATGTGATGAATACAATTAAGTGAAAGTTTCTTTCAGCAATCTTCGAACACCAGTTTCTTATTTCAATCGAAAGTAAAATTTCAAGCAAGGAGTTGTTTAAGTGTCTGTCAGAGGGTCGGACATTGTATCATACAGTTGTGCTTTTGTGTGACATCCATTGTTGTTCGAGACACGTTTGCAACACATAAAGTGCACACAATAAAGGCTATTTAAATCACGGTGGAGCTTTCGTTACCATATCATTACGCTTTTCAACTATATGTATTCAATATTGTCAAAGGAAATGAGGCTTTTGGATTTAACGATGTATGTGTAGGTAAGAGGGAAAGGAAATGGATATATAAAACAAACTGATAGGACGACACTATTGATAGAAATACTAGTAATAAAAGTGCAAATGATCAGCCGGCTGATTTACATGTGATAGAACTGTGATCTATTCTACCACCTGTACCTACTACCAATACAATGGACGAGTTCTTGTACAATGATCTGGTTACTATGCAGTCAAGTCTATCGAAGTCAACCAGGTATTTCTAAATACTTATTTTCAGTTGATAGTTAATCTCAAACACTTCTATGTTATAGTTTGTATCTTTGTTTTTAAAATGTTTAGCTATTGTTTGTCTAATACTGATACCTTACAAAGGAACCACGTGGGGAACCYTGACCGGAAATCATCWGAACCGGAAGTAAAAAATCATTCTGGCTATTAWTGACGGGATACCTGTGGTCTAGAAAAAAWTGCCAATTGATCGTTTTCAACCATTCCCATGAGATTCAAAWGATTAAAGAACGGCGGCCATGTTGGAGGAATGAACAATAGATACTAATGAGAAATCCTTTGTTAAAGTTCCACCAAGATGGCCGCTGTGACGTATAGTGAAAACGAAGAATTAATATCAACATACTATGCTCTGTATCAAATACAGCATTCTGATCAACATACTATGCTCTGTATCAAATACAGCATTCTGATTAGTTCTCGAACTAATGTCTATTCAAGTAAGCATCCGAAACCAAAAAAGTCGAAAAAAATGTTCACGGAAAAGTATTTTTATGGTCTTATTTCAGTTTTGTCCTATAGTTGGATGGATACTAATAAAACAATTAGGTCGCTCGGTTTCTTTGGACTGCGAGTTGATGTAGTCCCCTCGACCTCGTGGTCGAATTCTTGAATTTTCAGTGTATTTCTCCCCGTCTACCGACTTAATCAGTTGATGCCACTTTGCAAATCGGCATTCGAGATAATAAACGTGAAAAATAACAATATCGATAGGGCGACACAAGTTATGGGAGGCCTAGTTTCTTTCTTGCATGATAACATTTATCGGAGATTATAGGGACCTCTAAAACTCATGAATTATTCATTATAGACATTCCTCCTAATGAACATTCAAACACATTTTTAAATGATTTCTATAATGCCTTCGGCTTTGTGTTTATATCTCACGATAAAACACTCCTATTCGTTTTTTAAACATCACTTAAAAAACACTTGTGGAATGCTCCGCCTTTTTTGCAGCCAGTAACAGTGCTTTAACTGGGAACTAAACAAAATTAATTTCATCTTGATTTCACCACACTATGTTTTGTCTTGACGCACAATAGGCAGCTGATAGGAAACTGTGCTAATACCAAAATATAAAAGTTTGAAATGAAAATATTAAATTCTGGTGAAGTTATAAGGATTTCAAATATATCATAACACCAGAACGAGGATATAAAGGCCTTGGCTGAAAATTACATACATTTCTTTGTATTTTCATTTCGCCATAAATTTGTTCGCATTTTATCCAGGGTTGTAAAACTTTCCAAAAATGTTTATTTCTGGTAGTTCATTTACATGACAGTGACAAAGTTTTAAGATATTTCATATTCAGAAACAAATAGACAGACAGCCATTGGTGGAAAATTACATACATTTCTTTGTATTTTTCACTTCACCGTAACTTTTTTCCCATTTTGTCCAGAGTTCTAAAACGTTCCAAAAACTATTATTTCTGATAGTTCTTTGATGTTACAGTGACAAAATATTGATATMTATCTTATTTTGAAAAAACACAAATGCAGCCATTATAGTAAAGGTGTATATGACAGCGCYTTTTAATGTAAAAATAAAAAAATAAAAGCGCGTTGAACTTCAAGCCGGAAAGATACGGGTTTGTACGGCCCTGTCGCGAAAAGGCGTACGGCCCCCATCACGTGGCCATTTCCCGAAGGTTTTTTAAGAGCGGGCGTAGGGCCGAAATACGGATAAATAAATAAATAAATAAATAATAAATATAGAAAAAAATAATAATAATAAAAAAAAAAAATTAAAAATAAATAAATAACAAAAATAAAAATAATAAATAAATAATAAATAATAAACAAATAAATAAAAAATAAATATAGATTTCTTCATGGAAAGTGCTGACGTACGAGATTTTCAAACGAGTTGGTGATGAATCATAAATCGAACGAGTGAGCGTAGCGAACGAGTGAGATTTTAGATTCAAAACGACAGGTAGCCCAATCACTTGACTTGGTAGTGAAAAACGAAAAGTTCAATAAAAGTGGTAAAACTGAATAAAATTATTTCAAACTACAACATAGTGTTCTTCTTATTTTTCTCAACACCCCTGTGATGTTTCGGCTCATTATGGTAAACTTTCCCCTACTTATATACACCTAATTGAAGAAACGTTGTCGCGTCCAAAAAGGTCAAATCATAGAAGCTAAGACCGAAAGGGTACTTGGGAAGACAAACAATTTGGCTAATTTCATAACAAACATCTCTCCAGCATAAATGACTAGCATGTTGTTAATCTTACTAGCTCTACTTGATTTACGGTTCACCGTATATGCTAATGTAATCCCAAATTTAGTGGTACTCAAAATCCCTTTCGGTCTTAGCTTCTATGATGTGACCTTTTCGAACACGACTACGTTTTTTCAATTAGGTGTATATTATGACAAGGTTGGAGACAAACCGACGAAAAACACAATCGACACGGCTTCATGAATTCAAGCATTTATTTGCCAAAAAAACACTTGCCGTTCAAAATTGACTGCCATCACACATTTGGTTATGCATAAATACATCTCAATTTTGATGTCTTAGAGGCCTACCTGCTCTTGACTATGCACTAAAGCCGTTCAAACACGAAGATCGACTCTCCAAAAATCAGGAAAAAGGCGCGGCTCTTTTTTYTGTGGTCAGCAAACGGACAAACAACGATCTTCGTGCTGTTTCACAACCAGATGTAAGCGATACWTGTAAAATGCTAGTTGAAGCGATGAGAGTCGCTCTCCTGTTTATAATGAAAAACCATGCATATACCTTCAATGATACCATCTACCGTCAATTGAAGGGGGGTCCCATAGGTCTGGAATTAACTGGAGTACTTGCACAAATATTTATGGTGTGGTGGGATAGAGAATTCTAAGATGTTTCAAGTATACGGATACGGATACATATGTACATATGTACAAACGGTATTTGGATGACATCAACATCGTTGTGTCAATACCAACAGAAACGGAAATGATTCAAGAAAAAAGACACGTACAGAATAGCATACAGGATCCCAATGAAAGATGCATGTCAATTGTGAAGTCAATTGCTGACGGAATRCACCCATCTAYAAAGGTAGAAGAAGACCATCCTTCTAATCATGATGACAGGAAGATACCCGTATTAGATGTCAAGGTTTGGATTGAAAAGAGAAACGTTGAAGTGAACGGGTCCTACGTAGAGGCAAATGTAATCATGCAATATCCAAGGATATATCTTCGAAGTCAGTAATCCATCCACGCTCGGCCATACCATCACGAGCTAAACGCACCATCATGACACAAGAGGTCCTTAGAGTACTACTGAATTGCAGTACYTTGTTACCATGGGAACAGACTGTGACTCATATTAATCAAATKGTTGCAAGAATGCAGTAYACTGGMTATAAAGAGGAATTCCGATATGATGTAGTGAAGTCAGCGTTGAATGCATACATTTTAGTGCTAGACCAKCAAGGATTAAGACCTATGTACAGACCAAAGGGATGGAAGAAAGCTGAAYGCGACGAAAGGAAGAAAGAACAACGAACAAGTTGGTACAAGAGAGGAATATACTCAAGTGTTATATTCATACCTGCAACACCTAACTCTGAGTTAAGAAACTTTCTAGAGGAAAACGTGAGGAAATCAGGAGTAGGCATAAAGATCGTGGAAAAGTCAGAGACGAATGTGAAGAGGGTGTTGCAAAGATCTAATCCGTTTAGGAAGAAAGAATGTGAGGAAGAAGAGTGCCTGGTATGTCGGACTGGGGGTATTGGACCGTGTAGGACACAGGGTATAACATACGGCGAAATCGAATGCAAGTCACGTAAAGATAATTATATAGGTGAAACATCAAGAAACGCGTTTACAAGAGGAAGAGAGAGCATATAAAAAGTGTCGACTCTAACACCAGAGTACATTCGATCTTAAAGAAACACTGCTCTGAAAAGCACGGAGGTATCTTACAAGACTTTGTAATGAATGTCACGGGAACGTACAATCAAGACCCAATGCTACGGACAGATAACGGAATCGGTGAGGATAAAGAGAGAAGGAAGATCTATGAACACCAAAACAGAGTGGAACACTGTTTTGATACCACGTGCTAGTATTGAACTATCATAACAATACTTGTTGTAATCTTACATGTAGTCATGCATAGCCGTCTAATTAGCGCGCGCGATTAGTTTAAAAATCGTAGAAATTCCAACGTACAAATTGTAAACATAAGGAATTGAGAAGGTCTATTGATTAGACGAAACTAGTTCCTTAGAATAAATTTTCTTGGCGTAACTGTGTGTTGAAGACTTCACATWTTGGGTTTACTCCTATCTCACACTATACAATTAAAATGCTGAATTGGATAATTATAAATAAATCACATCAATAACTTAGTTTATAGTCAATTGTCATTCACTGAATATGATAAAATTAACGAAAAGGTACATTAGAATAAAAGTGCAACAAGCCTACAAACCTTTCGGTCTCTTGGATTTCTTTGCTTAAGCATGACTTTTTTTTCTCTCGGAAATTCATCGAGTAGCTTTTCATCACTCGCCGTTTTTAGCTGTTGAATTTTTGTTTTTCTCCTGACAATGTTAGTTTTCAATTCTCTTTCTAAAAAATGCTTTGTTGTTGATTGAATTCCGTGGTACGTTTTCACAAGTCTTTCCTGATTGGACGAAACGCTTTTTCCGCA